TTAAGTTCTGCAAATATAAATATATTTGAACGTAGATTAATTTTTACATTTGATGATTCTGTTGACCTTAGGCATTTTTATTAAGAAAATTCTATTCACTTATTTGTTTTTAAAAGATGGATAAATACATGCTACTTTAAAAATTAACATCAATGTCTTTGTTAAAATATGCAGCTAGTTGTGAAACAAAGTTATATTTGATATTATACTTAAACTCTGTTGACTAAAAGAGTCAAACTGTAAATTATATGAAGAGATTTATTCCGAACCAAATATGAGTGACCATGGTCCATGACACAGCACTCAGGAGTTTCTGAGGGCATGTGCCCAATGTGGTTAGGATACAGCTTGGTTTTATATATGTTAGAGATGCATGAGACATCAATTAAATACATTTAAGAAATACATTTGTTTGGTTTAGAAAGGTGGGACAACTCAAAGTGGGGACTTTCGGGCTATACGTAAATGTAAACATTTTCTGGTTGACAATTGGTTGAGTTTGTCTCAAGACCTGCAATTGATAGAAAGGAATGTTCAGGTTAAAGATAAAGGATTGTGGAGACCAAGTTTTATTCTGCAGAAGAAGCTCTCAGCAAACTTCAGAGAGAGCAGGTTGTAAAATGTTTCTCCTCAGAGCTAAATGGGTGCCTGGCTTTAGTTGATCATCTACTGGATCTGCAAAGAAAGGAGGAAAACAAAGAGGGAAGGGGATGCTCTGTAGAATCTGGATTCTTCCCACAAGATACTTTGTAGGGCAATTTCAAGGTGTGGCAAGGAAATATGTTTTGGGGGTTAAATATTTTTTCCTTGTCCCTTAATGTTATGCCAGAGTCAGATTGAAAAGCAAATCACAATATTCAGGGTCAGATAAAATGCATCTGATGAGAATCCATGGTTTGTAGGGCATGACTCCCCAGACCCTTTAGGTAGGAATTTAGGCAAAATTAAAAATCAGAGCTTAGTCCTCCTTCTTTTAGGTAATTGTCCAAATTTCTCCCTGGAATGTTACCTAAATAATCCCCCCATTATAGTTAACCTTTTCCCTATAATAATACTCATCACAGTTATACCTTTACATGATTGTATCAATATTTATTAATATCTGTTTTCCTCACTACTCTGTAAATAATATAGCAAGCACTTGTAGTTCATGCTCTGTACCAAGTATTGTTCTAAGTGCTGAATCTTTACAACTTTGTGCGGTAGATACTGTTGTTAGTCTTACTTTACAGATGGGGAAACTGAGCCACAAGGAGGTGAAGTAACTTACTATCACAGTCAGTAAGTTATAGAGCGGGGATTTTAACCTAGGCTGCCTGACTCCAGCATGTAATAGTTGTAGTGAATTAACTAATTAATTAGGGAGGGATATCCTCCAGCCTTGAGATTCTAAGGTTTATTTTGAAATAATCACTTAGTATTTAATGTTTACTTTGTTAACCCTTTTATTTATGTATAATTTATCATTTAAAAATAGTATATCTGTTAAAGTTAAAATATTGTTGAATATTAAAGTTTTTAGAAATGTATATAAGAGATAGTTTTCGGTATCACAAGGAATATAGGGCCTTTAATAGACAGGGTAGAAAAATGCTAAACATCCTCTAATAAACAGGGCAGCTCTAAACAAGGAAGAATTGTCCTACCCAAAGTGCTAGTCATGAGCCCATTGAAATAAAACTCAAAGATGAGCTCAGTCTCTTTGGGTGGAAGAAGCAGGAGTGGGGCAGATAGGAAGAGAATTGATATTTATCAAATATGTTAATACTTACTTCATTTAGCCTTTGCAACAATCCTATGAGGTAATATCTCTTTTATACAAATAGAAACCTGAGACTCATGGGGTTAAGTAATTTGTCCAAGGTCATAAAAGTGAGGTGTAGGTGCTTTGTGAGATTTTGCTAGACCGAAGCTCAGAGATGTAGAACAGAGTAATAATTCACCTGGGACCTGACTGTTAGAATCCAAATAACCATCCCTTCCTTTTCAGTGTTCTATTTTTGGCTAAAGACAGAGTCTTAAAAAGCCAAGGATATGTCTAGCATCTGCTGCTTTTAGATTCCTTTGGCCTTATTTGAATTCTGTCCAAAATTATATGGTTAAGTGTTTTTGTGACACATTTTAGCTTTAGTATTGCTGTTATTTCTCCTATTTAAAAAAAAAAAACAAACAAAACATCTTTTGACCCCCCCTCACCCCACCGCTTTTCCTCTCACTCACACCATTTTTTCCTTCCTTTTGAATAGCCCTTTCCATATCCCTTGTCTCTGAGTCTTGTCCCTTCAAGATTTTTTTTCCCACCACTACCCCAAAATTGCTTTTCTCAATGGCCTCTGTGTTACTAAATCCAATGGTGAATTCTCAGTGAGTACTTGCCCTATTAGCAGAAGTTTGTTTTTTTTTTAAGTTGGAGTCTTGCTCTGTCGCCTAGGCTGGAGTGCAGTGACACTGTCTTGGCTCACCGCAACCTCCATCTCTTGGGTTCAAGCAATTCTCCTGCCTCAGCCTCCCTCCCGAGCCCGAGCAGCTGTGACTACAGACGCATGCCACCATGCCCAGCTAATTTTTTGTATTTTTAGTAGACACAGTGTTTTACCATATTGGCTGCTCTCGAACTGGTCTTGAACTCCTGACCTCGTGATCCACCCCCCTCAGCCTCCCAAAGTGCTGGGATTACAGGTGTGAGCTACCACACCTGGCCAGCAGTATTTGACATAATAGATCACTGTTTCCTCCTTGATTTAGGATTTCCCACAAGTTTTTAAAGCTTAATACTTCATTAAGACTGAGAACAGCCTTAATTTTCTTATTTTCTTAGCTTCCACCTGCCCTGACATTTCCACCTGGATGTCTGTCAAAACTCTGAGACTTAAGCTATCCAAAACTGAACTCCTGATCTGACCTTGCTTCAGCCTCAGTTATTTTCATCTCAGTTGGTGACTACTTTATTCTTCTGATACTCAAGGCAGAAACCTTGGAGTTATTCTTCAATCCTGTCTCTTTCACTCCACATCTACATATCAGTAAGTTCTGTCACCTTTACCCTCAGAATAAACCCAGAATCTGACCACTTACCACCTCTTTTGCCACTCCCTATTCTGAGACGACAGTCATCTCTTGTCTACATTACTTCAATGGGCTAATCTGTTATATTACATACATAGCAGGGAGGGTGATCAGATTATATCACTCCTGTGCTCAAAACGACTTCCAATGGTTATTTGTCTTACTTAGAGTATGAGCCAAAATTCTTTTAACGGTCCCGTTTCTCATTTCATGTCTTAGTACGCTCTCCTTTGCTCACTCCATTCTAGCCAACATATAAAGCACCACTTTGGCATCTTTCTCTCTGTGGGGAAATGCTTCCTACAATGTCTGTATGACTAACGCCCTCACCTCCTTCAAGTCCTTACTCAAATGTTGTTTTGGGTGAGTTTATTCTTTTTTGTCTCTTTTAATTTATAAATGACAAAAAGAATTGTGTAAGTTTATAGGGTACAATGTAATGTTTGATACATGTATACATAGTGGAATGAGCATATCACGCTAATTAACGTATCCATCACCTCACCTACCATTTCTTTGTTGTGAAAACATTTAAAATGTACTCCTAGCAATTAACCATGGTCACCTTGCTATGCGATAGATCACCAAAACTATTCCTCCTGTATAACTGAAACTTTGTACCCTTTGACCAACATTTCCCCTTTTCCCACCCATCCGACCCTCCTCAGCTTCTAGTAACCATTACTCTACTTCTCTGAGTTCAGATTTTTAGATTTTGCATATAAGTGAGATCATGTGGTATTTGTCATTTTGTGCCTCGCTTATTTTGCTTAGCATAACACCCTCTAGATTCATCCATGTTGTCACAAGTGACAGAATTTTATTCTTTTTTAAGGCTGAATGGTATTCCATTAAGTGCATATACCACATTTTTCCAATCTGTTCATCTGTTGATGGGCACTTAGATTGTTTATGTATCTTAGCCATTGTGAATAATCTTGTAGTGCACATCGCAGGGCAAACATGTCTTCAACATACTGATTTTAATTCCTTTGGATATATACTCAGAAGTGGGATTGTATTATCGTACTAAGTCTCTCACCTCCTTTTGGTCCTTACTCAGATCTTGTTGTTTTGGGGTGTTTGTTTTATTTTGCAATTTTTTGGTTTTGGGGTCTTTAGATTCTAGATTATTTTCTTTATAGTTGAGACTTCCAAATTATTGATCTTTGTTACTTTACTTTCCCTTTTCACATATGAAGCAGTCATAAAGTCAGACCATAATTTTTAAACCTGCTATCATTGGTTCCTTAAATTTGCATACAATTAGAAAGCAGAGACTAGAATCTATACTCAGAGACTAAGGTCTCTGAATACACCAAGGAGTCTGTGCCATCTCAATCACCTTTAGACCTGAGTTAGCTAATTGAATGCCTACTTGGAACTATTTTTAACCCTGTGGGCCTTTGAGGTACAGGTAGAGACCAGCCTGTATGTATCACTTTCCACTGCCAAGGGGCTTGCAGCCAAGATCACTTTTACTAAAAATAGTTCACGAGCCAAGGCTCTCCAATCATACCTTGATATGGTTCTGAGAGATCCTTTTCTATCTGTTCCCAGGACCTAAGCTAAAATACTGCTGGAGGGCTTGTGAAAATCAAATCTGGGTTTTAGCGTAGCATATCTGTGATTATATATGGTTCAGCTATAGTATTTGAGTTTAAGCCAAATATCTTACTAATATTTCAAGTAAAGAGATTTTTATCATATTTTTGTGTATCTATGTGTCATTTAATTGTTTGTTTTAAGGTAGTTAAGTGCATATGTATGTGTGTATATGTGTGTGTGTTTATATATACATATATTTTCCCCCAGTGTTTACCAAGCGAGTGAAACAGAATTATTAACATCCTTTTTGAATGGATACTACTTGCCAGTTATTTTGCATGAAAGTAAAACTGATATTAGAACTTTATTTTCTTTTTTAATTTCAGAGAAGTATTCAAGCATTTATAAAAATAGGAATCAAGATAATCAACAATGTCTGTCACTGAGGAAGACCTGTGCCACCATATGAAAGTAGTAGTTCGTGTACGTCCTGAAAACACAAAAGAAAAAGCAGCTGGATTTCATAAAGTGGTTCATGTTGTGGATAAACATATCCTAGTGTTTGATCCCAAACAAGAAGAAGTCAGTTTTTTCCATGGAAAGAAAACTACAAATCAAAATGTTACAAAGAGACAAAATAAAGATCTTAAATTTGTATTTGACGCTGTTTTTGATGAAACTTCAACTCAGTCAGAAGTTTTTGAACACACTACTAAGCCAATTCTTCATAGTTTTTTGAATGGATATAATTGCACAGGTATTTGTTTCAATTTGGGATTTAATTTCTCTATCTGCTTTCACTTTACAGTAGGAGGGACATCTACTTGACCCTTCTAAATATAATCAAGTTTAAGGCACTTGCATGCTAAAAATTCTTAAGAAATTTAATAGGTTTGAACTGTAAATATAGACTTTCTTTAAAAGTTAGTTATCATAAATAACTTATTTATCATTTGTGAACCTTTCTTTTCCAGAATTTTACGATAGCCCCTATTGACAGTGTGTCCTTTCAGTTTCCCATGTTATTAAACCGCATGCTTATTGCAATTAACATCATTTTTCTCATAATTTGTATTTTTAACTTTTCCTACAGCTTACCTAAATAATTATCTATCCCCGGAGAGTAGTCAGACATTTCTGAACATTTGACAGTTTCTTTACAGCAGTTTTTCTTCATGGTACACTGAAATAAAAGTGTTTAAGTTGGTGAAGAATAGGAGGAGATTGAGGATCAAAAAACTACCTGTCAGGTACTATACTCCTTACCTGGGTAATGAAAAAATCTGTACACAAAACCTCATAGCATGCGATTTACCGATGTAACAAACATGCACTTTACCCCCAAATGTAAAATAAAAATTGGAAAGGCGGATAAAAGTGTTAAGATCTTATGTTAACTTAGTATCTAATGCTATTTAGCCCATCATTAGCCTGAGAACCATCTTTAGTACTTTTTTGGCCTTTCAAGAAAGCCATGTTGATTTCCAAAAAAAAAAAAAAGAAAGAGAGCGATACCCAAAATGGCCAGTTATTCAGTGCTTATCAGGCACTAAACACCATTATTTATATCTTATTTTTGTAATTATTAGTATTTATGACATTTTCCCCAAGACAGCTCACAACTATAACATGTTTCACTGCCTTTCCCTGATTCATTTTAGTTTTATCATGGAAGACATACCCTCTTGGTCAAATAAGAATGGAGTGTAGTTTATTGATTGGTACTGCTGTGATTTCCATTTTTAAGAAGATACCCTTTTTCTCATTCATAAAAATTCATGTCTCTAGAGATTTTGAAAATTTTTCCTAACTCAAAAAATCCAGAAGCTCTATCAAACTACTATTAAATTTTTGATTTCTTTTTGTCTTTAATTATATTCTTACCCAGCTCTTTTAAAGCTTCCTTATATACCAGCTTAAATAAAATAGAACATAGTAAAATATGTACTATGTTAATTCATTATACTGAAAAGTATTTTTGTGGTTTGTTAACATTTGGTTTAGCAGACAGATTGAATTTATAAAAATATTATCAACCAGTAATAATATAACTTACTGCCTTAACTGATTATTGTATTTGGTATTTACCATATGTAATTCCCAGGGTGGATTGTTTTGTTTTGTTTTGTTTTGTTTTGTTTTGTTTTGTTTTGTTTTGTTTTGTTTTGACAGAGTCTTGCTCTGTCGCTCAGGCTGGAGTGCACTGGTGCAATCACAGCTCACTACAGCCTCAACCTGCTGGGCTTCAGCTTAAGTGATCTTCCCATCTCTGCCTCCTGAGTAGCTGGACTACAGGCATGAGCTACTACCCTCAGCTAATTTTTTTAGGACACTAGGTCTCACTATGTTGTCCAGGCTGGACTCAAGCAGTCCTCCCACCTTAGCTGTCCAAACTACTGGGATTGTAGGGATGAGCTGTGGAGCCTGGCCCATAGAGTAGTTTTTTTTTTTAAATACATTTGAAGAAACACATGATTTTCTTGTACTGAACAGAATCTTAGAAACAAATTAATCTGCCTTAAACAAAAATTTAAAAAGGAATTTTATAAATGGCATCTATCTGGTAATATTTAAGTACCTGCTTTGTGGCAAGTGATTTGCTAGGCGCCAAGGATACATGGCCTCTGCCTTGGTGGCGCACAAAGTTGGAAATACAGTGTGATACATGCCAGAAGAGAGGAATGTGGATACACAGCATATACTGAGGGCTGAAGTGAAAGAGTAGATATGTCTGCCTAGAACAATGAGGGAAGGCAGAGAAAAATGGTATTTGTGCTGAGCACTTTAGCAACAGAAGTATTCCACCTGGATCAAGTAGAGGGACTTCTTAGAACAAAGGCAGCAGAGTAGAAAGCAGCAGAAAATGCTGAGGATATTGAATAATTAAGTATCCCTAGATCACAGCAAGGAAGAATTAGACTGGTGAAATAAGCAGATACCCTCTGAATGCTTTATAATATTCCAAAGTGAGGAATTTGAACTTTCTTATGTAAACCTGGAACAATTAAGAAGGTTTAACGTATTCAGATTTCTTTTTCGTAAAGATGACTATAAATTCCAAAGGAAAAAGAAGATGGAAGATAAGACTAATCAGTAGGATATTTTAAGATTGCTTTGAAAGAGTCGTTGTTGGAGTGTGGGGCTGGGAGTAGTGATACCGTTCATCAGAATAAAGAATATAGGAATAAGAGCAGATTTGTGGTAAAAATTCCCAGGTTTTGAGGATATGACTAAATAATTTTGGATTTATAGGGTTTAAAGATACTGTTCATGATATCCGGATGAAACTATCCACTAGATATTAGATATAATAGTGTTACCTGTCATAACAAAGAGTTTTGATTCCTTTTCTTAAAAACTCAGTACTTGCTTATGGTGCCACTGGCGCTGGGAAGACCCATACCATGCTAGGATCAGTGGATGAACCTGGAGTGATGTACCTAACAATGTTACACCTTTATAAATGCATGGATGAGATTAAAGAAGAGAAAATATGTAGTACTGCAGTATCGTATCTGGAGGTAAGTTGGCAATTCAATCAATAGTTTTGAGAAATCATTGACATGGTTCATTAAAATGATTTTGTTATATGAGTTTTCCCATGAATATATAAAATTATTAAAATTCCTCGTCTTGAATATTTGTTATGCATCTTTTTCTAAGTTTCTTTTTTTTTTTTAATTTTGACAAAATTTCAGACTTACAGAGAAATTTCAAGAATAGTACAAAGAACCTCCAGAAACCCTTCACATAGATAACCCACATGTTAACATTTTACTGCATTTGCTTTCTCTGTGTGTGTATACATTTCTTTCTTTCAGAGCTAAGTTGCAGACTTCTAAAAACAGAATATTTTTTTAAGTAACTGCTAAATAGGTACCCAAATCAGGAAATTAGCAATGATACAATATAGTTATCTATAGATCTTCGTGAGCTTTTGCTAGTTATTTCATTAATATTCTTTATTGTGAAATAAAATTTCATTCAGTTGTTATATATCTCTTTAGTCTCCTTAATCTGTAATTTTTATGTGTTTGTTTGCCTTTTATGACACTGCCATAAAAATCCTCAGTTTGAATTTGTCATGATTAATATAGATTATGCACTGACAGTAACACAAGGAACGTGATGTTGACTTCTTCATCATAAAAGGCTTACACGGTTGATTAGTTCTTATACTGGAATGTTAACTTTCATGAGTTTTATTATGCTGATATCTGTAGGGTTTCTCCACTTTGAAGATACTGTTTACCATTTATAATCAGTAAGTACTATGTATATAGACAATGTAAGTATCTGCAACTACTCAAATTTTCATCTATCGATATTAGCATCCACTGTTGATTGGTGACTGAATCAATTACTATTACGATGGTGGTAGGTGATGGTAATTTTTAAATTCCATCCTTTCTTGCACATTTATTTATTGGCTTTCTACTATAGGAAGAGTTTTTCCTTTATTATATCAGCCTCATCCATTTTTACTTTATTCAATAGTGTAATCTCTTTCTGTAATCATTTTTTGTATGTTCAAATTGTGCAAGATTTGGCCAGTTGAGGCTCATTCGTGTTGTCTCTTGTGTCCTTTTGAAATACCCCATCGTTTTTCTTTGAGGCCTTCTACTCTTTTAATATTCAACAAATGGTAAGTGGCAGACACTCTTAACTTTGCATTCAGATAGTGTTTTAGAAATGAGTACAGAAACATAAAAACCCTGATTTCACTGCCTGTTCATTTCTCGTGCCAGAAAATTTCTCTTATTAACATCTTATACTTTGGTCCCTACTGAGAGTTTCTTCCAAAGATTGATTAAAATCATATATGTTGTGAAAATTTCTTCATGAGAACTTACAGATAAAAGAGAAGCAAAACTCATTTTTTTAGTTAAGTATGAAAATAATTGTTCTGAACACAATTAGAAAAAGAGAGTGGCAATATTCATTATTTTTACCTTAGATCTTTTTTATAACTGGGAGAATTTTGAAGTTTGGTTATTTTCACAATTTTTATTTTTTCTTTTAATCTGCTATCATATAATTAATAATAAGCAGTGTATAATATGGTTTTCCACTCAAGCTGTGCACCAGAATGGCCTATAGAACTTTTTAAAAATAGATATGCCTAGGCCTCACACTTCGGATATTGTAATTTAGTAGGTCTGGTGTGTGGCTGAGGCATCTGTGTTTTTTAAATGCTCCCAGGTGAGTCTCATGCATAGACCAGCTTAAGGGCAATTATTCTAATTGTTGATTTGGTATGATTGAAGTGGGTAAGGGGAAGCAATAGAAAAGTGACAGCTGCTCATCAAAAAGATATGATTAAAAAAAGTTTCTTCATATTATCATTGTATTACTTTTAAGGGTCTATTACATTCTAATGTCTATCATTCATTTTAGAGAATCAGCAATGAATTATCACTATGAGCTACTTACTAGAACATAGAAATAACAAAATAATTTTTTAGAGACTAAATTTTGTAATGTTTTTTCTTAAATCTTTGAGTAATGGTTGTAATTATCATCTGGTTAGCAAGTAATACACTTTGTACATTTAATAAATTGATAAAATCAGGTCATTATTACTACACAGAAATTTGTTTTACTTATAAAAATTACTTTTTAAAAAGTGGCCAGAAATATAAAATACAGATGTGTATTCTGTATGATGCAGTAGAGTGAAGCTGTCTAGGCTTCAGTTCCTACTCTGCTAATACCTTTATGCCCATAGACAAATCATTTAACCTCTCAGAGCCTTAGTTCCCTCATGATTCAAATGGATCTTCATTTGAAATTTATTATTAATAATTATATATCAAAATTAATATAATTGAAGGATTATTTAAACAAATACCACCTGTCCTTGAGTGTGGGTTTTCTGTACCATTTAAGCTCTAAAATTAAAAAAGTTTGGACTACTTGGACATTGTGAAATAATAAATATCTCTACAGTAAGAACCATGCCATCTCCATGCAACCTGCATTTCCGTTTCCCAGAATTCTCCAAGACTGTGTATTCCATATATTTCCTGGAAATAAGAAAATGCACTTAAGCTATCTTATTTATCTCTGTTTCACCATAGTCATCAAGGCAGGAATTATGAGTGAGGATATGACTCCAACGTTAAGTTTCAATTTCAAACCTAGGTAATCAAACTCTTCAATTTTCTGCGTTGGTAGACAATTAATGGCAACATGAGATAGAAGGTATGAGGTGAATAAAAGTGAACTGTTCCTTGTCTTTAGGATATAAATTCTAACAACCTTAAATCAGCAATGTATGTGTGATGTAATCACTATTTTTTTTTTTTTTTTTACATCAATGCTAAAGCAGTTCTTTTTATTTTAAGGTATATAATGAACAGATTCGTGACCTCTTAGCAAATTCAGGGCCACTTGCTGTCCGGGAAGATACCCAAAAAGGGGTAGTCGTTCATGGGCTTACTTTGCACCAGGTGTGTATATAAACATTTTTTTCCCTGTTAGAATACCAAATGTGATTATTAAGCCATTTTCACCAGCCATGCACTTACTTCCATCCTGTTTGAGAAAAAACAACTAATAAAGTAGAGATTTTAAATGATTAGGTTATATCTTTAGTCAAATTTTGTTTTCTTTTAAAATACTAAATGAACTTTTTGAAAACATTTCTAAAATTTTATTTTTAAATTTTAATCTACTTATGTATGTAGGTATGTATTTATTAATTTTGTGACCAGGCTATGGGACCGGCTAATTTTTGTATTTTTGGTAGAATGGAATTTCATCATGTTGTTCAGGCTGATCTCAAACTCCTGGGCTCAAGCAATTCTGCCCACCTCGGCCTCCCAATGAGTGAGATTTTCTTTCAAAAATCTGCTTGAATATTTAATGTCATATTCTGTTTAATACAGAGACTAGACTCTGCTCCTGAGAGACTAGATTTTATCTTTTATTCTTCATATAATACACACAATACTAAGCAGATGAGACAAATTCAGTATTTAATAGGATTGAATTTATAGAAAACATTTTCTTTTTGTTTTTTTAATTTTTTATTTTTTATTGTACTTTAGGTTCTAGGGTACATGAGCAGATCATGCAGGATTGTTGCATAGGTACATACATGGCAATGTAGTTTGCTGCCTCCATCCCACCATCACCTATATCTGGCATTTCTCCCCATGTTATCCCTCCCCAACCTCCCTATCCCCTACTGTCCCTTCCCTAGTCTCCCCCAATAGACCCCAGTGTGTAATGCTCCCCTCCCTGTGTCCATGTGTTCTCATTGTTCAACACCCGCCGTGAGAACATGCTGTGTTTGATTTTCTCTTCTTCTGTCAATTTTGCTGAGAATGATGGTTTCCAGATTCATCCCTGTTCCTACAAAAGGCACAAACTCATTGTTTTTTATGGCTACATAGTATTCCACGGTGTATATGTGCCACATTTTCCTTGTCCAGTCTATCATCGATGGGCATTTGGGTTGGTTCCAGGTCTTTGCTATTGTAAACAGTGATACCTGTGCATGTAGCTTTATAATAGAACGATTTATAATCCTTTGGATATATACCCAGTAATGGGATTGCTGGGTAAAATGGAATTTCTATTTCTAGGTCCTTGAGGAATCACCACACTGTCTTCCACAATTGTTAAACTAATTTACACTCCCACCAACAGTGTAAAAGTGTTCTTATTTCTCCACATCCTCTCCAGCATCTGTTGTCTCCAGATTTTTTAGTGATTGCTATTCTAACTGGCATGAGATGGTATATCAATGTGGTTTTGATTTGCATTTCTCTAATGACCAGTGATGATGAGCATTTATTCATATGTTTGTTGGCCTCATATATGTCTTCTTTTGAAAAGTGTCTGTTGTTCGCCCACTTTTGAGTGGGTTTGTATGTTTTTTTCTTGCAGATCTGTTTTAGTTCTTTGTAGATTCTGGATATTAGCCCTTTGTGAGATGGGGGCAGTTTGCAAAAATTTTTTCCCATTCTGTTGGTTGCCAGTTCAGTCTAATGATTGTTTCTTTTGCTATACAGAAGCTCTGGAGTTTAATTAGATCCCATTTGTCTGTTTTGGCTTTTGCTGCCAGTGCTTTTGGTGTTTTAGTCATGAAGTCCTTTCCTATGCCTTTGTCCTGAATGGTTTTGCTTGGTTTTCTTCTAGGGTTTTTATGGAAACATTTTCTTTTACCTTTAAATCTTTTTCTTTTTTGAAATTTTATTGAAAAATTTAAAGATAATTTGATTTTTAATATTTTCTTCTACTTAAATATCTCCAGCCCAAATCCTCAGAAGAAATTTTACATTTATTGGATAATGGAAACAAAAACAGGACACAACATCCCACTGATATGAATGCTGCATCTTCTCGTTCTCATGCTGTTTTCCAAGTAAGAGGCCACTAGACTATCACTCTTAAAATTGAATTTAAAATAAAGGAAACTAAAGTCATGAATGGTCATTTTCATACATGTGAAAAAAATCTGTCTGTAGACTTCACTTGCCAGTACTTTCTTTACTTTGTAGCTTTTAGAAGTTTCTGTCACCAAGAATATTTATAACTCAGATGTTTAAATCAAAAATACAAAATTTCTTCCTTTGTAAACATATAGGATGGTAAAGTTGTAGTAATAAAAATTGTCTTGTTTTTGGTGAAAATATTTAATCTTTCCAATAGATAATCATACATTCACAGTAAAATTTATCTCTATAGGTCTAGACTTATAGAACAATAATTTGGGAAAATACTGATTCATCTTTAAAAGATCTCACCATAAAGACCATGTAAATAGTTGCATTCCTTAAGGAAGTATGATTCAGTTGGCACAGTACTTCTCAGTTATACAATTCCAGAAAGAGCTAATGCATAGGTTAGTAGCTACTATTTCTTATAGGTTCTAGTCCTTTTAATATCCAAATGATAATATAAAGCTTCTTTCAGTATTATGCTATCTGAGATTCATCTCATAAGAAAGAAATTGTTATAGTTTAAAGAATTCATGTTGAAGGCAACCAAACCATTCATAGTATACAAAAATTTCATTAATCTTTTTTGTTCTTACCACTAACTCTCTGGCTATTAATCGTCTTGAGAGAAATGTTTCTCTGTGACACTGAGATGTCTCTGAAATAATCTTAGATCCTGCTTTAGAAAAAAATTTAATAAATAGGTTTTATAATGAATTAATACCTTGCCTTCCTCATCTTTTGTTTGCTACCTAATGAAGTTCAGATAATTCTTACAGAGTAGCTCTAAATATTTGAATAAATTATGCTTTACTAGGTGGTTGAAAATAACAAGTAGACTTTACTGTATAGTCCTGTGCTGCATAATGACATTTTAGTCAACAACAGTTCACATATACAACAGTGGTCCCATAAGATTACAACGGAGGTGAAAAGTTTCTATCCATCTAGTGATGTCATGCCCATCATAGTGTGGTGGTGCAACGTATTACTCAAATGTTTGTGGTGATGTTGGCATAAACAAACCTGCACCACCAGTCATATGAAAATATAGTACATACTATATGTACAGAATATAGTACGGAATACAGTACAGAAATTATGTACAATACATGACTTGATAATAAATGACTGTGTTATTCATTAATGTATTTACCTTTTATTGTTATTTTAGAGTGTGCAGCTTGTACTTATTGCCCCAAAAGCAGTCTACTACATTCTGTTTACCAAGTCTGTTGATTTTATCATTTTCTGTTATGTTTGATTTATGATATTTTCACAATGAGGATATCAACTAACAGTGCATTTCACAGAACATAGCTTTGCTGTTAAGTGATGCAAAACTGTACTACCTTTTTTGTATATAATATTTTCCTAATTAGAAGGACATACACAAGTTTGGGGATTAGAATAAATTTACTCTTCAGTTTGGATCAAGATTCAAATTCACCTTGTCTTTAGGGGCAGTCTCCGAATACATGCAAGGCATTCTGACCAGTTCCTTTGGTTTTTTCTTAACATTATTTCGATAGAATTTGTGTCCCCAACTATCACCTCTGAATTCCATGTTCTGGTTCAAGGGGTACCAGAATATAAATGGAACTTTTGATCTTCTGTCAGGTCAGGAGTTATTTTTCCTCTGGTACATATAGAGAAAATCTTTACATTTTTATATTTTTCTCAACTGTAATGATTACTTCTACTGCTCTTAAATATCGATTAGATTTTACCTTATAATTTTGATTTTGTGCTTTTTTAAAAAATAAAGTATATGTTTCCCTTTTAATTTTATTAAATCTTATCCTCATTTTTTTTAATTTTATAATTTCAAAAAGATTTACTTGCGACAACAAGACAAAACAGCAAGTATCAATCAAAATGTTCGTATTGCCAAGATGTCACTCATTGACCTGGCAGGATCTGAGCGAGCAAGTACTACCGGTGCTAAGGGAACCCGATTTGTAGAAGGCACAAATATTAATAGATCACTTTTAGCTCTTGGGAATGTCATCAATGCCTTAGCAGATTCAAAGGTAGGCATTATATGTTTATTTGTTAAATAGTTTGAAATATTCAAACATATAAGAAAGATACTATTTAATATGATTTTATTTTAAAGTCTGGTATATATCACATTTCAAGAGTATATCAGTAATGTTCGTATATAGTTCAAAGACCTCAGAAAACCTAGTGTATTAAGTAAAACTGATTATTATTTCTTTTTTAATTTCTAGTTTTATAGTCAGAATTGGTTAAATGGAAATTAATGAATACCAGATTGAGAGTTAATATTTTATGGTACATTCTTATCACTTATTTTGAACTTGGTTTTTAAAGTGTGATCATTTAATGATCACTACACAGCAAGCATGATAATTAAATTGGCATGAAGGCAAAATAACCATATTTTAGAAAAGCTAAATTCTGTTGTTTAGTATTTTATATACCATAAATGGGGTTAAGTATTAGAGCGTTGATTTTTTTTTTTTTTTTAAAGAGGGGTTTAAGTTATAAAATGTCATGAAATCACTTAATAAGATAATGTTTACTAGATGCTTTGGGCATATTTAACAATAGTTTACATGTACCATATGCCAGAAGTGCTTACCTAAACTCATCATCACTGGTCATTAGAGAAATGCAAATCAAAACCACAATTAGATACCATCTCACGCCAGCTAGAATGGCAATCATTAAAAAGTCAGGAAACAACAGATGCTGGAGAGGATGTGGATAAATAGGAACACTTTTATACTGTTGCTGGGAGTGTAAATTAGTTCAACCATTGTGGAAAACAGTGTGGTGATTCCTCAAGGATCTAGAACCAGAAATATCATTTGACCCAGCAGTCTCATTACTGGCTATATACCTAAAGGATTACAAATTATTCTACTATAAAGACACATGCACACTTATGTTTATTGTGGCACTATTCACAGTAGCAAAGACTTGGGACCAACCCAGATACCCATTGATGATAGACTAGATAAAGAATATGTGGCACATATCCATCATGGAATACATGCAACCATAAAAAAGGATGAATTCATGTCCTTTGCAGAGATGTGGATGAAGCTGGAAGCCATCATTCTCAGCAAACTAATACAGAAACAGAAAACCAAACACTGCATGTTCTCCCTCATAAGTGGGAGTTGAACAGTGAGAACACATGGGCACAGAGAGGGGAATATCACACCCTGTCAGGGGGTGGAGAGATAGGGGAGGGATAGCATTAGGAGAAATACCTAATGTAGATGACAGTTGATGGGTGCAGCAAACCACCGTGGCACATACATACCTATGTAACAAACCTGCGCATTCTGCACAAGTATCCCAGAACTTAGTATAATATAAAATAAAATAAAAAGCTTTGGCTTGTTAAACTGTTCAAAATGTTACCTTTTGATTTGGAATAAAGTGTATTAAAATAATTGCAGCACTTTTTTAAAGGCAAATTCTAAAATCATGAAGATTGCAAAAGCAAGATGTCTTTTATAGTCTAAGTTAAAATCTCAAACATGTAAGCAGATAGCACAGTATAGAGTCTGATTTTATAAACTTAAGCCATTCATAAGATTTTTGCCATGTGAACTAATCCTTAATTTTTTAATAATGACTCCCATTGAGTCATTTGTAAGTGTTTAATGTATGTCTCAGACATGAAAAATAATTTAAAATAGCACCAGCAGTGCACATTTCACACTGTTTGGGAAAGACTGCTATGGTGGAAAGCATATTGCTACTGAGAATTAGGGGACCTAGTACCTATTTCTAGCTCTGTGAACTCCCAGCTGTGTGACCTGAGGCAAATCATTTCACTTTATGCTTAGCTTCAATTTCCTCTTCTGCAATATGAAAGATATATATTGGATAACATTGGGTTGCTTTTAGCTTGAAGTTGTAAAGAATCTTTCTTTATATAAAAGTTGTCATTTCTGGAAAATTTATTTGTTACTTCAAAACCAGAAACAAAACTTAACAGAATTTGTTACTTTTGCTTTTTTCTTTTTTTAGGTAAAAGAAAGTCTTGAACTATTAGGTTTTTTAAGGACTCTATAGTGATTTCAGAAGAAATGTCTGTAACACTGTAATTATAATTTATTTTATATCTATATTAGATGGTTATTTATGGAGAGAAGTAACTCAAAGCTATGCAGAGCTCTTGTTATTCCTCTAGTATATTTGTATAGGACATCTGTTTACTTCTGTGTTTTAGTTTTTTTCAATGAGTGGAAATATTTTTAAATTGACATTTTCAAATAGTTTCAGATTCACAGAAAAATTACTAAGATGATACAGAAAGATTCTGTTAAATACGCTTCACACCCAATTTTCCCTATCATTAATTTTTTACGTTTATGTGGTACCTATATCACAACGAACCATTATTTATGTATTATTTTATTTTGAACTAAAGTTCATACTTATTCAGATGGAGATATTTTTAAATATGGCATTTATTTTATATATTCACTGAATAATCCTATAAGATTCATTGTCTAAGGAATCAATCAGCAATTATAAGCCTGGACAAAATTGGATGGTGCTTAAGTTCTTATAGTGAAGTGCTAAAATTGTAGCTGGTTTGCATTTAAATGTGAAAAATGACATAAGAACTCTTTTTTTGTACTTTCAGAGAAAGAATCAGCATATCCCTTACAGAAATAGTAAGCTTACTCGCTTGTTAAAGGATTCTCTTGGAGGAAACTGTCAAACTATAATGATAGCTGCTGTTAGTCCTTCCTCTATATTCTATGATGACACATATAACACTCTTAAGTATGCTAACCGTGCAAAGGACATAAAATCTTCTGTAAGTCTGTTTACTCTGCCTTTGTTGTTGAGATATCGGCTGCATATGATTTTTATAAGTATGAAAGTATTAATTAGGGTTGTGTTTCTACATAATGAGTTAGACAGCTCAGGGTTAGAACAGTCCTTGCTAACCTGGTTAATTGAACATTAATTTAGACAGTTAAACCATAAAGCATCTTGATTTTTATATCTATATAATATAGAACCAAAACTTTCTACCTGAAAAATCTTGGATATGTTAGTTAATCTTTCCAAGCCCATTATTTCATCTGTAAAATAGGTATAAAGCATATTTTTTTAATGTTTTTTCTACGTAATTTATATCCACATTCATGATGTTGATATACCAATCTCTGTATTTCTCCAGAAACATAATAATTGGTTACATAAGTATTTTTGTCAAAGATATGGTGTACTTAAAAACATATATGTCAAAACATGTATGTTTAAAATTTATAATATATCAGGGTTGAAAAAACCTAGAGTTAGACTGTTGTGACAATTCCTCCTCTTCTCCCTTTTCCCCCTCTGCCACTCTCCTTAAGTGTCTGAAGATGAACATGTTATGGTCATCTTGAGAAAAATGTTCCCAGACTCTTTATATAATTAATTGTAAAAGGTCATACTATATGGATATACAGAAAAGTTTGTCACACATGATTTTCATGTAGACCTTACACTAACCTCTTGAGAAATAAATTCTTAGCTCCATTTTACAGATGAGAAATCTAAACATCAAACAGTTAGAATTCTAAGTCAGGTTAAGTGAGAAGTAAGCAAGGTCTCAATATCAAGTATTTGGATTTATATGTTTAATATTCTCTCTACTATACTATAAATGTCAAAGGGCCCATACTATGATAAAAATGTTAAAATATATTAAGAACTCAGTGAAAACTAAAAGTAGGGAATTTTATTACACTGTGAGTACATGCTCATAAGTAGCTTTTCTCAATAAGGTAATTTCTTTATAATTTCATTTACATTATTGTGCTGAGAAGACCCTCTTGTCATAGATTTTAAGAATAAGCATAATTGTCACAAATTCTGAATTCATGGAACTCAATGAGAATATAATGTCATTTTATTCATGTATTTATGTGATTATTATCTCTCTGTAAACAAACATAATTTCTATCTTTCAACAGTTGAAGAGCAATATTCTTAATGTAAATAATCATGTAACTCAATACGTAAAGATCTGTAATGAGCAGAAGGCAGAGGTATGTCTGTTTATATTTTAATGCTAGTCTTTTTCAATTCTTCATTTATAGAATTTTATAATTTAATTGTCCAAAAATTTAATATATTTTTCTATTAAAATTAAAATCTGTTTAATTCAGTTAGTTTTTAACAGCTAAATTTTGACTGTGGCTATGTAAATGACTTCTTTTATATTTTAACTAGTGTTTTCTCTCTACTAGATTTTATTGTTAAAAGAAAAACTAAAAGCCTATGAACAACAGAAAGCCTTTGCTAATGAAAATGACAAAGCAAGGTTAATGATTTCAAACCCTCACGAAAAAGAAATTGAAAGGTAAACATTATATTAAGATCTAATATTGAGGAATTTATTGTTTTAAAATTTAGTTAATTTATGTTATGTCTTTTGTATGTATATACATATGTATGTTTTATATATAATTATATCTACACACATACATACATACAGATTTGACTCAGAGATATAGCAGATTCCATCCTTCAGACCACTACAATAAAGCAAATATTGCAATAAAATGAGTCATGCAAATATTTTGGTTTTCCAGTGCATATAAAAATTATGTTTACACTACACTATAGTCTGTTAAGTGTGCAATAGCATTATGTCTGAAAAGATAATGACCATGCTTTAATTTTAAAGAATGCTTTATTACTAAAAATGCTAATGATATCTGAAACTTCAGCAAGTCATAATCTTTTTGCTGGTGGAGATCTTGCCTCAATGTTGGTGGCTGCTGACTAGTAAGAGTAATGGTTGCTACAATTTGGAGTGGCTGTCACAATTTCTGAAAATAAGGCAACAATGAAGTTTGCTGCATAGGTTGACTCATCCTTTCATGAAAATTTTCTCTATAGTATGTGATGCTCTTTGGTAGCATTTGCCCACAATAGAACTTCTTTTAAAATTTGAGACAGTCCTCTCAAACCCTGCCACTGCTCTATCAGCTACATTTATGTGATATTCTAAATTCTTTGTTATCATTTTGACATTGATAGCATCTTTATAAGGAATAGGTGGTAAACTTTCTCAAGAAACCACTTTCTTTGGTTATCCATAGAAGCAACTCTTCATTTCTTCAGGTTTAGTCATGAGATCACAGCAATTCAGTCGCGTCTTCAGGCTCCGCTTTTAGTTTTAATTCTCTTGCATGCCCACCACATCTGCAGTTACTTTCTTGACTGAAATCTTGAACCTGTCATTGTTATCCATGAGGGTTGGAATTAACTTCCTCCAAATTCCTATTAATGTTGATATTTTCATCTCCTTCTGCATATCACAAATGTTCTTAATGACATCTACAATGGCAAATTCTTTTTAGAAGCTTTTCAATTTATTGTGCCTAGAATCATCAGAGCTAAGTAATTATCTATGGCAGCAATAGCCCTACAAAATGTGTTTCCTAAACAAGAAGACACAAAGTCAATATTGCGTGATCCATGAGCTGCAGACTGGGTGTTGAGCTAGCAGACATGAAAACATTAATCTTCTCATACATTCCCATCAGAACTCCTGAATAACCAGGTGTATTGTCAGTGAGCATTAGTGTTTTGAAAGGAATCTTTTTTTCTGAGCAATGGGTCTCAACAGTGGGCTTAAACTATTCAGTAAACAGATGTGCTGTCCTCTAGGCTTTGTTGTTCCACTTATAGAACAAAAACAGTTAGATTTAGCATATTTCTTGAGGGCCCTAGATGATAAATGAGCATTGGTTTCAACTTAAAGTCACCAGTTGCAAAAGCCCCTGACAAGAGAGTTAAGCTGTTCCTTAAAGCTTTGAAGGTAGGTATTTACTTCTCTTTAGATATGAAGGGTCCTAGATGGCTTGTTCATCCAATAAAAGGCTGTTTTGTCTACCTTGAAAATCTGCTGTTTAGTGTAGCCATCTTCATCAGTGATCTTAGCCAAATTTTCTGGATAACTTGCTGCAGCTTCTACATCAGCACTTGCTGCTTCCCTAGACTTTTATGTTCTAGAGAAGGCCTTAAACCTTATGAACCAACACCTGCTGTTTTCAGAGTTTTCCTCTGCAACTTACTCTCCTCTCTCAGCCTTTGCAGAATTGAAGAGATTTAGAAGGCTTGCTCTGGATTAGACTTTGACTTAAAGGAAAGTTATGCCTAATTTAATCTGTCCAGACCATTGAAACTTTTTCCATATCAGCAATAAGGCTGTTTCACTTTCTTATAGTGTGTGTTTACAGGAGTAGCACTTGAAATTTCCTTCAAGAATTTTTCCTTTGCATTCACACCTTGGCTAAATGTTTTGTGCAAGAGACCTAGCTTTTAGCCTATCTTAGCTTTCTACATGCCTTCCTTGTAAGCTTAATCATTTCTAGCTTTTGATTTAAAATGAGAGACATGTAACTCTTCCTTTCCCTTGAACACTTAGATGCCATTTTAGGGTTATTAATTTGCCCAATTTCAATATGTTTCAGAGAATAGGGTGGGCTAAGGAGAGGGAGAGAGCGACAGAAATAGCCAGTCAAATGGAGCAGTCAGAGCAAACACAACACTTGATTAAGTTCAGTATACTGTAGTCTGTACTTCAGTATACTATATATAATTCACTATATCAATCAATTTCTATCAATTTTTCTATCAACATTTATATCAATCTCAATTGGTTTCATATATGTTATATATATGTATATAAATCTATAGTATTCACTATACTGTATATAAGTTCACTATACTATAGTTCACTATATTATAGTTTATATAGACACAATTTGTGACTCTCAATTACAGTAGTAATATCAAGGATCACAGGTCACAAATCACCGTTATGGATATGTAATAATGAAAAAGTTTAAAATATTTCGAGAATTGCCAAAATGCAACACTGTAAGCTTATGCTGTAGGAAAAATGATGCTTATAGACTTGCTTGCAGCAAGATTGCCACAAACCTTCAATTTGTTTAAAGAATATATATAGTGTCTGCAAAGCACAGTAAAACAAGGTATGCCCATATATATATATATATATATATATTTTCTCAAATGAATTCAGGAAGTCAATGATTTCTCTATATTACACACTTTGTGTAATTTTAGTTTTAGATCAAGTAATTTTAGTTTTTATTTTACAGGTATTAAGGAGAACCAGAACTTAGGTAGAAGATAGTAGAGACAAAGCCGCTTATGTCACCTATAGACTTACTTTAATTTTAATGGTGCTCATGTTGTTCTTTTCTGACACCATCATTATTTGTATATTTCATGTAAATCTATTCATTTTATTAACTCTCTATAGCTCTGTTAATCTACTGCTAATCTACTTATGAGCCAAAATGGTTAATTGTTTAAATGAACATTTTTCAGTGATATAAACTGATACAGAATTTTTTTTAAAAATATTTTATTGCACTTTAGGTTCTGGGGTACATGTGCAGATCATGCAGGATTATTGCATAAGTACATACATGGCAATGTGGTGTGCTGCCTCCATCCTCCCGCCTATATCTGGCATTTCTCCCCATGTTATCCCTCCCCAACCTCCCTACCCTCTGCTGTCCCTTCCCAATTCCCCCCCAACAGAACCCAGTGTGTGATGCTCCCCTCCCTGTGTCCATGTGTTCTCATTGTTCAACGCCCACCTGTGAGTGAGAACATGCCGTGTTTGATTTTCTGTTCTTCTGTCAGTTGACTGAGAGTGATGGTTTCCAAATTCATCCATATACCTACAAAGGACGTGAACTCATCATTTTTTTTAAGTATATATATATATTTTTTATTGCACTTTTGGTTCTGGGGTACATGTGCAAAACATGCAGGATTGTTGCATAGGTACGTACATGGTAATGTGGTTTGCTGCCCTCATCCCCCCATCACCTATATGTGGCATTCCTCCCCATGCTATCACTCCCCAACTTCCCTACCCCCCAGTGTCGCTCCCCATTCCCCGCCAACAGACCTCAGTGTGTGATGCTCCCCTCCCGGTGACCATGTGTTCTCATTGTTCAACACCCGCCTATGAGTGAGAACATGCAGTGTTTGATTTTCTGTTCTTGTGTCAGTTTGCTGAGAATGATGGTTTCCAGATTCATCCCTGTCCCTACAGAGGACACAAACTCTGTTTTTTTATGGCTGCATAGTATTCAATGGTGTATATGTGCCACATTTTCCTTGTCTAGTCTATCATCAGTGGGCATTTGGGTTGGTTCCAGGTCTTTGCTATTGTAAACAGTGCCTGAGTGAACATGTGCGCATGTGTCTTTATAAAAGAATGATTTATAATCGATTGGATATGTACCCAGTAATGGGATTGCTGTGTCAAATGGAATTTCTATTTCTAGGCCCTTGATGGATTGCCACACTGTCTTCTACAATGGTTGAACTAATTTTCCCTACTACCAACAGTGTAAAAGTGTTCCCATTTCTCCACATCCTCTCCAGCATCTGTTGTCTCCAGATTTTTTAATGATTGCCATTCTAACCAGCATTAGATAGTATATCAATGTGGTTTTGATTTGCAGTTCTCTAATGACCAGTGATGATGAGCATTTTTTCATATGTTTGTTGGCCTCATATATGTCTTCTTTTGGAAAGTGTCTGTTCATATCCTTTGCCCACTTTTGAATGGTGTTGTTTTTTATTGTAGATAGGTTTTAGTTCTTTGTAGATTCTTGATATTAGCCCTCTGTGAGATGGGTGTAGATTGCAAAAATTGTTTCCCATTCTGTTGGTTGCCAGTTCACTCTAATGATAGTTTCTTTTGCTGTGCAGAAGCTGTTAAATTTAATTGGATCCCATTTGTCTATTTTGGCTTTTGTTGCCAATGCTTTTGGTGTTTTATTTATGAAGTCCTTGCCTATGCCTATGTCCTAAATGGTTTTACCTAGGTTTTCTTCTGGGGTTTTTATGGTATTAGGTCTTATGTTTAATTCTTTACTCCATCTGGAGTTAATTTTAGTGTAAGGTGTCAGGAAGGGATCCAGTTTCTGCTTTCTGCACATTGCTAGCCACTTTTCTCAACACCATTTATTAAACAGGGAATCCTTTCCTCATAGCTTGTTTTTCTCAGGTTTGTCAAAGATCAGATGGTTGTAGATATGTGGCATTGCCTTTGAGGCCTCTGTTCTGTTCCATTGGTCTATATTTCTGTTTTGGTACCAGTACCATATTGTTTTGATTACTGTAGACTTGTAGTATAGTTTGAAGTCAGATAGTGTGATGCCTCCAGCTTTATTTTTTTTCTTAGCATTGTCTTGGCTATGCAGGCTCTCTTTTGGTTCCATATGAATTTTAAGGTGGTTTTTTCCAGTTCTGTGAAGAAGGTCATAGGTAGCTTGATGGGGATAGCATTGAATCTAT